ACTGCCAAGTTGAATATTTACTGTTCTTTTATGTCATGTATTCTTGATTTCAGATTTTATTTTGACAGTTTTGTAGATTTTTAAAGGTTTTCAGACTGTAAAAGGGAAAATGTCTCTGTACATCCCATTGACCATTTCAGTTGCCTTATATCACACAATGACACTATAAGTAAAGCCAGTGTAGGCAATAGTTAAGTCATCAGGATTTCCAATGAAATGAATGTTTTGTTTTTGCTTGTTTTTACTGTAAATAAATACCCCAAGAAGTTTAGAGTTTGCTGGACATTGCTTTTACAAACACAAACACATATACACACAGTCTTCACGAACCCAAAGAGAAACTTCTTTAATTAAATGATTCGATGGGAATTTTATTCCCCCAGAATAAAATTAGAGGATTCTGACAGTCCAGGTTTCACATGTGGAACCAAATAAGGGAAACGGACGACTTCAGACATGAGTCAAATAGCCACAAAGAAACTTAATGTAATCATGATTAAAAATAAATCTGCTGATGGAACAAATGACTCAGTGGAAACATGTTTCCATGGAGGTTCACAATAATGCAAATTCACAAATACATAAATACAAAATATGGACGTAACTGCTATTAATGTCATCACATCATACACTTAGCAGCTGAAGAGGGAAAATACTTCTGATCATAAATCCTTTTCCTTAAACGTTTTTCTAGGTTTATTGTAATTTAATGTATTTCAGTACTGTCCTATATTGTGCTATTTTCATTTAATATTTAAGATGTTTTGATTAAAGTGGAATGACATTTTTATGTATTTTTTTTCACATGCATTGCCGTAGCTTAAAATCTGTACTGTTTAGACAGTACAAAACATATAAACATGTAATTGTGTAGGATAAATATCTGTTTTTTGTCCTCAACACTCCATTCATTTTGGAGGAAGAACTTTTTAAAACTACAATTTAACTCATTCTCTTGTTAAGTGTGGTGATGGATTTGTGTTTCTTCCCGAGACACTGTTGACCTCCATTAGATCCAAATCAAGAGGTGGTTCACTTCTAGACACACTTCCACAGCCATCTTACATTCCAGATTCAAATACCATAGATATGGAATACAAAACTATTTTAAAAAAGAAACGAAACGAAAAAATGTCTGTAGTTCATATTCTGGTCACTTATAAGTGACAAGATAGTCGATTAGATTATTAAGGCTTGGCAGTGGACTGCGTTATACTAAAATTATTCATATTCTTTTGTAAATGTTATGTTTTTCTGTTTCCCCTAAAACCACAAATACTATAATTGCAACTCATTTTCGAAGGTTTATCACTAATCAGTCATTTTCCAGACTCAGGTAGAGTCTGAAGCTTTCGACAATTTTCATTTTGCTGTGCCCTCCATTCATTCATGTCCAAATTCAGGGGCTGCGCCAATCGGTTCACGCGGAACCATTGTTCGGCAGTGGAAACAGGAAACGTCGTAAACACATGTCGCACCTACCGGAAGTTGAATTCCTAAGTCACATTGACAAGGAAACCCGGTCACGAAAATATTTGGTAATGTAACATTTTTTTTTTCATTTCATATATTGTCAGTAATTGTGTTGTCATTCTGTTTAAAATGGGAATATATTACTCTTACTGAGCAATATTCCGTAACGTAACGATTTTTAAATCCGTATCCACAGTTAGCTGCATAGCTAGTAGCAAAGCACCCTTTCAAATACGAAAAAAGTCGTTATTGCTATGGTTTCTTAACTTGGAAGGAGGTGAATGCACTCTGGTTCTACTTTCACTTTATTTTATTCTGTTGTTTGATCATTTTTACGTTACATATTCTGAATTTTATCTAGCTCATTTTTTTGTCACTGTGAAATATGTTATCCGCAATCTGGATTATTTTACGCAACATTCCCTGATCTACGAAACCAGCTGCAAATAACTCTTGCATTGTTTTAAGACAGAATAGTTTGCTTAAATTTGAGAGCTGGAAACAAAATATTCTTGCCTTTGTTTGGGTAAACCTCTCTTTATAAACTAGTCAATCAGATTAACTTTTGGTTGCTTTCTGAATCAACTTTGATGCAGCAGGAACACAACTAAGACTGATAATTTCATTATTGTTTCTAATTACCTCCGTTTAACTGTCTTTATCTTTTAATTTAGCAATCCAGTTGCGACTAATTCAGCTGTATCTTCTTGTTTGCAGGACCTCTGATGAAACACCCCATTACTGATGAATTTATTTAGTTGATCGTTGATGATGTTTGCCTTAAGAGTTGTCCCACGATTATTAAGTAGAACAACCTGTAAGTATCGACAGAAAAGCAATAAAGGTTTTACTGTTATTCTACATTTTTTCCAACCAGCTTAAAAAACTCTTTCTCTTTTAATTCCCAGATGGAGTTCAAGTTCATGGAGGGATTCTGAACACATGCCTTCCGTCTTCCTGCTTATCGCTACAGCAGAAACTAAGAAATTACTCGACAGCAGCAGACAACACGCATCCTCCGCGATGGGTTCAGCTTGAGCCGGAGCTGGAAGAGGCTCTGGTGCCACGGAAGCTTTCGGTGAGTCCGCTGGAAAGCTGGCTAACTCTCCGCTACTCCCTGCCGCCGCTGCTGGAGTCAGCGCTGCCGCAGGAAGACGTAGAGCTGCTGCAAGAGAAGCTGCTGCCACCGATCTCTGTGCCCGTTTTGGAGGACGGGGAGGGCTCCGCAACACCCATGAGATGTAAGAATGTTTTAGAAATCCGGCGGCGAAAGATTAACCGACATAAGTACAAGAAGCTGCAAAAACGGACTAAATTCTTGAAGAGGAAAGTTTTGGAGGGCAGGGGGAGAAGAAAGCAGGTGAGGAGCAAATGGTAACCCTGCTATTCTCTTATTCTATGTGTGTGCTCTTGTCAAATAAGCTTGGTTATTTATGTTGTGTGCAGAAAAGATTTGAGGAGGATCTGGAAAGGATATGGAGGAGAGCTGGACTGAAGAAAGCTCCGGACGGCTGGGCCACACCGAAGATCTTTATTAAACAACAAGGAAACAAAAGAAACTGAGAAACACTGAAAACAAACGTTTAGTCTGTGTTGCATCATTCCCACCGGCTGACCCTGAACACCTCTCTTCATCGGCAGGTCAAAAGGTCACGATCCCTGTGGGTACGGTTAAGTTCTGCAAATATGTCATCTAAATAAAGATCTCACTCTCATTTCACTCAAAATGTTTTTCTTTTGTTCTTTTCTCTACATCCAGTACTTTCAATAATTATTTAGAATCCTTTGACTTATTCACATTTTGTCACATTACAGCCAGAAATGACAAACGGATAATGGTGGCATGGGGGAAAAATGTTAAATATTTTATTGATCCCAAAGGGAGATGAAATGTTGTTGTAACTCATATTAACTCAATTTTCTTCAAAGTTATTGTAGACGGTGATGGCTGTGGGTACAACGAATCTGCTGTAGCAGTCTTTATTACAGTGAATTTGAAAAAGCCTCTGACTAAAGACCCTGTTTTTCTTAGACTCATGAAGAGTATGATCAGGGTTGTTTTTCATTCTATTGATTTCATGCAAAATCCTGTTTTTGCACCATCATCTCTCTAATTGCTCCACAGTAATCCCCACAGCAGAACCTGGTGTGATTGATAGTTTTTAAAAATAATTCTACAAATAAAAAGTCTGAAATGTCTGGCATGCATTAACGTTCATCTGAAACGAGTCAATCCCGTGTTTCTACCAGCTTTACCAACTCTTCTTTGAAAAAAAAAAAGATAAGATTCAGTCAGACTGGGGAGAATCCATGAAACTGATTTAATAAAGAGGTCGATTCTTAACTTGAATTAGATCTGTACTTTGACTGGGCCAATCTGACTCATTAATATGCTGCGGTATAACCCAGCCTCAAACAGGTTTTCTTCCAGGACATTTTGATCAGATCAACTCTGAACATCCTCTCTGTCCCTGCTGAAGATGATGATGATACTTCATGTTTAACCTTTAGGGCAGTGGTAGGTTTCAGCCACATTCCCATAATGCATTGCATGTTGTTGGCCAGAAGATTTAGTTTAGCTCTCAGCCAACCAGAGCATCTTTTATTTTCCCACGGTTGCTACAAAAGGGACTGCCTTCTTTTTTCCACTCAACCATAAAGATCAGGTAAGTCACCAATTGGTCTAACTAATTGGTTTCCACGATGCTGTTAATTTTCTAGGCCTTCATGGATCGGCTATATTTGTTCAGAGGTTTTAAAAATGAAGCAACTCTTATTTATGGTATTCGATTACATGGAAGCGATTACACATCTTTCATTAAAGACTTGGAAAACCCGTGTCACTTTTCTTCCACTGTAATTATGAGCTATTTTGTGTCGATATATCAATTAAACCGCAAATAAAATATGATGCAGTTTGTGGTTTAGGTTCAAAGGTTGTGATTTCTGTTAGTGCCATACACTAGATGGCGGTATTGTGCCGTTACATAAAATAAGTAAACGTGACATAATTTGGCTTTGAGTGGTTTGGTCTCCAAAGGCATTTTGATAATCTTTTAATAATGGGTTTATGAGTTTGGAAAAATCTGTAAAGATTCTTCTTGACTTCTACGAGCGAGTTTCGTTTAACCTAAAAAAAGAAGGAGGAAAGTGAGGAGAAGATTTTCCATGTGGGGAAAAAACTGTATAATGGAAAAATATGCGTGAAAATAAACTAGAATCCAAACAACAAGCTGTAAAACTTCGGGGGCAAATGTTTCAACAACCTCCATGCGGGGACTTTGTAAAGAAACACATTTTCTTGGAAAAAGGTTTTGTACAAAAGAAAAAAAGTGAGGTGTCTTGTAAGAATAAATGTGTTTGCAAGTCTTTAAAATGGGGATTAAAACACATATTTGCACCTTTTCTTTGTTTTCATGACCTTTTTTTAAAAGTTGGTGTGTGTGTGGCGCAGCGGGCCAGGGCTGTGGTAGTGTTGAATTTCATGGCCTGCTGAAGGTGGAGCTTGTGGAGCTTCCAGCCTGCAGGAACACAACAGAACCCAGCTGCAGCTTCGCAAAATCTTTAGTGTTTTAACAACTGATGTGCCCAACAACACCACCACCCCTGTCGGAGCCACGTCTGCTGCAAGCGCCGAGGAGAAGATGCGCCTACATATGAATCTCCTGCAGAGTAAGTCCCTTGTTTTTTTATTATTATTTTTATCATTCTTATTCTTGTAGAACTTGAAAAAAGTCGCAAAGGAATGTTTGTTGTAATTGAATCCAGGTTACAAAGAAAAGATATCTGTCCACTTAAACCTAAACAACAGAGATTAAGTCATAAAATCTGATGATAAGTGGGTAGTCACACTGATGACAGCAACAACACAGAGGGCCACATGTAAACTTGTATTTTGTGGTTAACAATATGCTGATTAGGGCAGCAGAAAATGATACACTGAGGTGTTTTTCTTCCAGGAGGGTCAGATCAACTCATAGAAAACCATATTTTACTGTGTTCATCTGGAAACCTGTCATGTCTTATGCTTGCTTGGTGACTGTAATAAAATAAACCCTAACAAGCACTGATTTATCCCCCTCCCCCCCTCCAGATAAAGATCTATTGGTAAATTGTCAGCCTTAGTACTTTGTAGATACACTGAGTTTTTTATGCAAGTTTCTCTCTTTTTTTTAATTCTTTTTATTTTTAGGTTTGATCAATAGTTGCTTCCTGCCTTTTTTTCCCTTTTGTTGCAGTTGTGCTGGTGGCATTTTTTTGTTTGTTTCTTTTGCTGTTTTTCTAACAGAGAAATTAGGGAGCTTTTACAGTGAAAAAATCCCATAGTGCAGGATAGAAATTAAACAAAATCAAAATGCTTTTTCTGTATGATTCGTTATAAACAATTTGGGTTTTTAACTTTTTCTGCCACCTTCTGTAACCTCATGACGTATTAAGATGTCTACTCTATTTTGTGTGTAGAAAGAGAGCTGAAAAACACCAACTTAATTTGAGGAATATGTAATAAAACTTTGTTAAGTTATTAAAATAGTTCCTAAGTTATTTAGTTGACTTCCTGGTGTTTTTAATATATTAAATGTCTGAAATGTAACTTTCTGAAATTTGCAGACTCTAAAGTATGTATTTATGTCTCAGGAAACAAACTCTTCAGATTTTCTCTTCTGAATATAAAAGGTTTGAGTTTTTTACTCATAAAACATAAACGTCAGCCTTCAGTACGGCTCTTCGGCTGCAACTGGCTCCGTCCTGCTTTTGCACTTTTGCAGCCATCTGAATGTTTTCTTGTTTTATGGATTCAGCCCAATGTGTTTCCAGTTAACTGCGGTCTGAGCGCAGGAGTCAGCACAATCCAGCAGCCAGTCATTATATGTGTCAGTAATGAGTGTTTTCACCACGAGTGGGTCGCTTTGGGTCCGGGGCGACGTGGAGCAGGAGGAGGGGGATTCATCCGCAGCATGTTTATGATGGTCGGGTCTGTTTTAATGATCGACCACAAACAGCAGAGCGGCATGGAAAAGATGAGAACTGCTGTTTTGATTTGGACCGTAGCTGCAAGCAGCCAGTCATTGGAGGCAGCAAATGACAGGGAAAGAGGAATAAGTGTGTTTAGACTCTGAGGAGGCCCGTCACCCTTCGTCCCACTCCGTCCAGCTCACAGTGGCCCACACATCACATCATAAGGAAGTGGTACAGTGCCATCAAATAGTGCATTTAATTCTATAGATTCAAGTGTTGCACCTTATGAAAAATAACAGTCTTAACATCACACAAGACCACTAAACATTTTTAAGTTCAATAAATTAGAATATTATTGAAAAGTTCATTTATTTTAGCAACTTTATCACAAAGATAAACACGTTATATTGATTAATTACACAGAATTAAACATTTAAAAGCCTTTATTTTTGTTAGTTGTGATAATTTTCCACTTACAGCTAATGGAAATATGACTTTTGANATTTTTAAGTAGCCTACACAGCCATAGAATTCAACATCAGCATTTGAGGGCATTTATTTCTGTTCACCTTCTTTCAAAGAGTTTTTATGAATATAGATGTAAACATTGTGTGGTATTTACTAGGATCTAGATTTAACTACGAGAGACACAAAACATTTGATTGGAAAAAAAAAACTAAAATGATAAAGCTGTGAGTGAAAATATAAGTACATAAGTGCAAAAAAGGAGTGAAAGTGGCATCTAGGTACTAAAAACATTTTCTATAAATTGATCAGGATCAGCGTGAGCAGTGCTATAAAAGCAGGAGTCGAGAAGGTTTGTTTTATATGGATTTTTTAATTCTAAGGTCATTGCAGACTCGATAAAATGCCTTTGCAGAATCAGTTATTGCAGCCCAGCAGTCTGAAAAGGTTTCAGCACCACTTCGTTCAGCCTCCCTTCCTTTTCTGTGTGCAGAATATTTGGGTACAGCTGTTGCTTTTGGCTGTGCACAGACCCAACATCCTCCCGACAACCTCACAAAATGCATTAGCAACACAGTTCTAATACTTTTCCAGCTTCAAAAAACTTACCCCAGATGCACCAAAATACATACATACTGGGATTAACTCTTATGATCACAAGCAAACAGCAAGAGAAAGAAGAGAAAGAAAGCTTCTCAAAGTTTCTGGAACCTCAGCACTGAAGTTTGGCTGTTTGGACGTAATCTTCTGTCAAACCGTCTGTGACCAGGAGTTCCACGTAATCCACAGTTCCACAGGAGAATCACCACAAAACCTAGACAGAAAATAACTTCTCATTATTGATGCTGAAGGTGATTCTAGAATGACTTGATTAGAAACTTAGCAGGTTAATCAGCCACTTAAATAAGATCTAGTGGAGCCTGTGGGCATGTAAAACACACAGGACACCAGGGTTTCACTACTGGAGCTGGATATGTCTACACAATGCTGCAAAAAAGAGTGAACATTTTTAACCCTCATTCTTGGTAGTAAGGATGACATGAAATCTGCTTTATGGTATTCCAGGTCAAATTCAAATTATTTTAGGCCACTCGGCCTGGAAGTTATTTGACCATTCCAGGATTTCATGTGCAAAACCCTAGAATGCTAAGACATGTTTTATTCTTTTACCTTGAGTTTACCAGCAATGGTGCGCAGAAAAGCTGTTTTTCTACAATTTAAAGGAATTAAATGAATGTTGTCTTCTAAAAGTTAATGCTTACGTTAACAAGAAGAGCTTATTAAAGAAACAATGAATGGAACGCACACACCATGTTAATTGAATAAATATTTATGTGTAGAACAGGATATGCTTCTCTGTTTTTTTGTTTTTGTTTTGTTCTTTAGAGACATTCCAGCCCAGCAAAGATGAATTAAATCACTGCTCAAAGCTTTGTGTAACTCCAGAGAGGGAAAGTTTTCTTTGCTCATTCTCACCCCTAAAGACCTGAAACCCCTCACCAACTTTCAGTGGGAAAAAAAGATAAAACTTGAGATATGAAAACATATGCATTCACGTACTCTTCTGCCAGGATTTTGTTTAAAAATTCATAACCCGTTCAAGAAAAGCATGTTGGTCTGCACCCTGTTCACTTGGAAAGTACTTCACTTTGTTTTGCTGACAACCCGCAGTCAGCGTTGCTGAGCTGGCCTTGGACAAACCAGCAAAAAATTGCTCAAGCACATCAACAACTACAGCAGAATTTCAGCTGACTCTGGTTTAGTGTCATTCTGTAGTGAAAATCTATTTCTGAGCCCTTTAATGGATTCCTGTAATGACGTCTATTGATACACAGGGATGGATGAGTCGCTGTCACGGCTGCTGCAGAACAAAAGGAGGACAGAGACTCGAACTGATAACGTGAGGAATTTCTGGTTGACTGATTGGTTGAATCCTGGAGCTGACATGCAGCTTTAATTACTGCCACGGCGACTGAAACGCAAAACTGGCCTTAAACTTCAGTGCTATTTAGATATTGAGTGAAGCAGATATTGCACCATAACGGCAACACTGGAAACCTGCTTCCTTTCAGAATATTTTAAGAAGAGTATGACTTTTGCAGTTGTTAATCTTTTCTTTGTTCGAATAAAGTCAGCTGTCTGCCATGGGACATTTTGAACCTGATGTGTCCCTTTCCAGACAAAGACCAGAACCACAACCAGTGATGCCGAAGATTCACAGCTTGTTATTTGGTGGAGTCTGGTGTTAATTTAAAACAGACTGGCATAGACTCAAAAGGAATTATTAAACAGCAGCATCTACTGAGAAATTCATTAAACAAAACCTGGGATTTGTAAAAATCTTTATTATACTTGTGAAGATGGCCTAAATACAACTTAAGACTGAAACAATCATAAAATGCATTAAGATAAAACCAAGACTGAACTATTTTAGAGAAATAATGGAGGATTTTAAACTGTTTAATTGATCTGTCTGTCCATATAAATTACTATAAGACTGATTTATTATTGCTTTCATTGTTTCAGATAAATTTAATTAAAACTAAATATGTTTTGTTGAGGTGGGCAGCAGTTTACCCAGCAAACTTTTCCTGCTAGTCTTTTTAAGGATTGCAGGTGGCAGATGAAAATAAAATTGTGATTTAGATTACATCAATAAACTGTTTTCTTTCAACACAGTTATATTCTTCAGAGTTTAATAGACTTTGGAAAAAAAACAAAAAACATGTTGCATGGTTTTCAGTTTATGTTTTCCAAACTGTTACGCCGATACAAAAGTTTCTTAAAAACACCACAAACTTTGCACGCCAATTTTATGGAAACGATGAGACAGATCAATCCAAAGAAACAAGCAAAACAAACTTAGCCTATACATATTGTAAATATTCCAAAATGTCTTGTGTTTTAGTAAATCTATATAGTAAAATTAAAAATTTAAGTCAGATCAGGGGGATTTCTATTTGTTGTAAGTAGCAATATTGATTTATTTCCCACCAGCATCTCTGTTGTAACAACTTAGACGAATTGACAGTTCGGTTCAAATGAAACAAGTGACTAAACACACAGATTGTTTTACTTTTTGGTGGCTCTTAAACTTAGAGATTCTTTCAGGCTGAATTTCTCTGAATGTCTTCATCAGTAGCTTGTGTTGCATCCTGTCCTTCTGCTGCCTTTCAGTTACATTATGATGACGAGATCAGTAACGAGATCGAGACATCCTAACTGATAATATTTGGCATTTGGAAATCCAAATATTATACACTGAGTCAAGAGGTTAAAGAATCATGCAAGTAAAGAAATGACAGTTGTCTTGAAAGCTAAAACTAGGGAAAATTCACAATTCAACTACTTCCAGATCCCATGGACTTTCCAAAATGTATCAAACTATAAACTCTGGTCTCACAGTAAATCAAAATCCAGGTTTTAGTTTGATTGTGATTCTTTAGCATGACCTTGAAGAGATGTTTCCTTCTACACAATCATTTAATGTGGCTGAATTAGAACAATTCTACAAAAAAAGTGTGAACCAATAATCCTCCACAGCAATCTAGAAGTTTCCTCGCTGTCACTTGATGACAGCTGTTGCCGCCAAGTGTGGCCCAATTAATTATTAGGCTGAGAAAGCCATTAGATGCTATGAAGATCTGCACCTGTACAAAACAACGTGAGGGCAAAGTTACTCACAAACCACCTCTGGATATCTGTAGACAGGTATATACCCATCAACGCTCATTCATGCAAAACGCTCGCAGCAGATGAACACAGACAGACTCCACTCTGAGGTTAGCTCCTGTCGATCGCTGCTCATTCATGCGCTCTGAAGACAAACAGGTTTCCCCCGAGGTACAGCGAACACTTATAAATTTATGATTCTAAGCTCATCCGCTGCCATTAGGTTCACACCTGATCCCGTCATCTTTTTCCTGTTTCCTGCCAGAAGCTGTAATGAATGAACCACGAACACAATGGCTTTTTAATTCTTTTTTTTTTTTTTTTTTTGACAGCGACACTCAAAGCTCCTCCTCACAAGGATGCTTGATTTTATTTGATTTCATCTCATGTTATTGGCAAACACTGAGTCTGAAAGTTGCATGCAAGAAGACTTGAAATCCTTCGTGTGTTTCTGCACACATATAATGTGACGGAAAGAGAAATATTCGTTTTTTCTTAAAAATTAGTGATGATATTGCTGCCAAAACCCCGACGGGGATAGAGAGCAAGCAGAAGGAATGTCATGTTAAAGCACCGGTAGGTATAAATGGCATAACTGGCTTCAGTCGTTAATTTTACGTGACTGAATTAATTTCAAACACAACAGTCACACATCAGACAAGTCAATTAGACATCCAGAAACACTTGTACACAGTTAGTCTTGAGTTTTCCTCCAGGACATCAAATTTATTCAGTGAAGGAGAAATTACGTTTTACATTATGCAGTGAGCATCTTCAGAGTAAAACACTGGATCAGAACTGAGATAATTAACTGATAATAGAGCCAGCGGCTTCAAACAAACAACAAGAAATACAGTCATATTCCATTTATGCACAAAAAGTACGAATGGGACAAGAAATGAACTCTGAGGAACACGCAGGCCGTTTAGTGAACAGCAGCATAAAAAGCTTTAGAAGCAGTGGCACACCGAGAACATGTCCACAGGGACAACCGGGCCAATAAAAACTTTAATAGCTCAAAGAAAATAAATAAAAAAAAAAAATAATTAAAAGCAAAATAGTCTGAATTATTACCGACAGAAGTGTTTTGTCAGAACCAGAGCAAAATGTATTTAGAAACCTGATAAAAGCAACATCATTTTCAAAGTAACTGATGTCCTAGTTAAAGGTCTGCCCTTCTGGTTGTGTACTGAGAGCAACTGTGAGGCTCCAAGTTGCTCCACGCAGCATTGTTATCTGGGATGTCGCCCTGATGATAGCCTGCCAAATTCACAGGAAATAAAAGGAGAAGTAGGTCATTTTCACAGTAACAGTTCAGTTAAATTCACAGCCTTAAATAACCACCTGATCCTCCATGTCAGTAACTTTCACCATCTACTTAAACCCGAAGACTTAATTACTTGTAATTTTTTACCGATTTGCCATTAACGCTGCCAGTTTAATAGTCAAGCTGTGAATGAGTCTCAAAGTCACTGTCTGGTCCAGATACACCATGTGTCTTAATCACAGCTCACTGGAAACAACCTCTGGTAAAAAAGCACAGACTCACTCCTGGAAGTTTTCATTTTGCTGCAAAACAAGAAGATGGAAAGTCAGTCATGGTGCATGGAAATCCTCTGATAGAACTCTGTAAACATGTCTATACTGCTTTAATGGTCTACCTTTCACCTCACGACTGCTTGAAAATGCAAAAAAAGTAACTTAAAAATGCATACAATACTTCTATTTTCATTTATTGTCATTGTATTTTAGGGAAAAATACAGAATGTTGATTTCATTTTGTAATTAAAATGAATTTGAATCCACTGTTTTGACCTGGGACCTTTTGTGTGTTATCTCTACACAGCAGAGTGTCTCTCACTGCATCTACAGCTGTGACTGGACAGCAAGAGAATGAAACCACACAGAAGTGCAGCGTGACAGAGACCGGAAACCACAAAACACACAAGCAATAATATGGATTTCATTTTGTGGTATTAACATAACCAGGGGAGGAATTAACATACAATCACATGCGGTCATACACGCCCACTAATTCTCCCTCTCCTCCACACCCCGTACTCCTCGACATGCAATTAGATAAGCGAGTGCTCAACGAGCCACTCGACGCCCACACGCTTCCATTTCAGAGCCGCTTTTCTAACTCTGAAGCTGAACTCTACGATGCCACTTTGACCAAAATCAGTGAAATGCATTCCCCCCGCCCCCTTCACCACACCCCCAACCTTCTGCAACACAGAGAGTCGCGTCCTGCTGTCCCACTCCAAACAGCCCAGCTCCCCCCCTCTGTTATTGAAGGTCATGTGCTTTAATTTGTCAGAATGAAAGTGATTATTTTAACTCCGCTATCCAGGAGAGAAACTGACTAATCATTGTGAAACTGTTGGTACAAACATCTCCCTGCTGCAAAGTCATAATGAAATGTAAGTGTGAACTCTTTTAGTTAACACGTGAGTGCAAAACTAATTATTTCATTCTTCTGAAATCAGGAAGTTTGGTAAATATCTGAAAAAAAACATGGATGAACTATAACATTTGATGCTATGTTAAACCTTAAGTTATTTTGTTTTAAATAAATAGCTTAACATGAAACTTTTGACTATACAGTGGCTATTAAAAAACCCAAAGCATCAGCCTTCCTCCACCGTGTTTTGCAGTTCTTCTAAGCTTGTGTGCTGATCTATTTTGAACTATAAGACAGTCTTCCAGATGTTTGCACATAGCTCAGAGTAAAACATTACAGTGTACAGTGTGTTTTACCCTTTTCCTTCTTTTTTGCATGTCCTGTCCAGTTGTTGTTGTCTCAGTGTAAAAGTGAGGCCCATCAGATTTACCGTCACAAGCGAAGCATTACGGCTTTCCCATGATGCTCCACTTCACATGAAACTTTATTAGAAATTGCTTTGGGGACGTTGGGTGGTTCAACTGGCAGAGCAAGTTCACTGTGTGCAGCGGCTGCTGTCCTGGGTTCGATTCCTCGTCTCTCTCTAGAGTTTTCTGTCTATTGACAACAAACTCTATCCTGTTTTTAGTCAATTTACTGTTGAATACCGACCACTAGTGCTATAAAAGAGCTTTAGATGGACACAGTAGAAAAGAAAGGGAGGAAGACAAGCCTTTTCCTGTCCATTTACTGTATAACAAAGGCCACTGCAGCCTAATAAAGAAAGGGAGAAAGGTGTGGAAAATATTTAAAGGGAAAGAAGGACATAAGGATGGAGGAGAGAAAGAAGCACAGAGAGGTGAACATGTCAAGCATCCTTCATATCTGCTTCTAGACCTGCAGAAAGAGAGAAACCCAACAGCATATGGATGTATGATAATTATAACATCACTGAAACGTACACAGTGCAGTTTAATGCAAGATGTATTTAGTGGCAACCGCATCCAATGAGTGTCTTTGAAAAACATCTGAATCTAAACTTTTCCCACAAACTGATGTAGTTGTGATCATTTACATGTTGTTGGCATAAAAACATTATTTCTTTTCTTTTTTTTTTAAACAAGACATTTAATTTTCCTGCCGTTTCCTGTGAGCATATTTCACTTAACAGGTTACAATCAGAATGACCTTGGAACACCAAACACACCACCTCTTTTAAAAAAATACATAAAACGTATCCAGATTTTCTGTGAGCTTCTGCTTGATTCTGTTGTTAACATCAACGTTCAGTTTTGCACCTTATTCATTGCTCTTTCCTCTCCGTTTAGCCTTCAGGATCTTTCCACAGACTGTGATTTCTGCAGCAAAGGTAGAAAAAAACATAACCGGTGCCTGCAACATTAACCTCTGATGCTGTGGGGCTAAATTTCTTAGCTGGCCGGTGTTGAGAAAATAAATTTAAAATAAGCTAGTTTTAAAACTTAACATGTCTTGATTCAAATGGCCTAAATTGTGGTTTTAAATCAGTTACTTGTTCTGGCCTATTGACCTTTATTTTACCTGTAGTTCCAGCGGATGGTTTGCTGGGATCGTTTGAATTGCCTTTTGTCTGTGAGAAAACAATACAGTGGAAGTTCCAGCTTTTCACACTCATCTGTGAGAGGCTGTAAACACGGCAGGGGTTTCTAGCTTCAGATAGAGGGTCAGAGATAGCTCCTGGTTGGAGGAGAAAAGGTACGCCTTATTTGAATAAATTAAATACAAGAGGATAAAACTTTCTACACAGAAGTAACAAATTAGATTTTGCGCTTGCAACTTCTCCAAAGACGTCTTTGCCTTTTTCTTTTCTATCTTTTTGTCTCAGGTAATGAATGTATGTTTCTGTTGTTCTGCAGTTTCTGGTGTAGGTTTGTGAATTGTCTTACTTCTAAGTTTATGCATTGTCTTATATTGGATTAAATTCTGTAATTCTGTGATGTCAACACGCATTGTTGTTTTCCTTGTGGCTACACGTGGCCTGCCGAGAGGACCTGGGATCTAAGGAAGAGAGAGAGCCAAACTTTTTTCCAAAGTTAACTATTTTAGAAATTCTTCCTTAACATCGGACAGCTTTTCATTTTTTACTTTCCCAAACAGGTCTGACAAGCACGCAACCGTCAGGCAGCATCGGTTTAAAAAGATGCAACACTTTGGAGGCATTTTAGGACAAAACTGCCGGCAACTTTCGCAAATCTCCACGTTTGTGCTGATATGATTCATCTTCTCTCTCTGCTCTATCATGGCAGGTTTTTCTTTTTGTTTTTCACTCTAACTGTGACCTTTTATACCAGCTATAAATGGCTTTGGCTTCAGGCATGTTTTGATGACACTTCATACAAATTATGCTGTTTTTTAGGCTTGTTGAACTCCAAAATGGACTGTAGATGTAGCTCCTATAGGAGAATGACTTTAATGGATATTGTTCATCCAACAAGAATGACGTCATGGTTAGACTCTGCAGATTTCAAACATGCTTTTTATATCATTTTGCAGCTAAAATAATGTGCATCCAGTACGTCTTACGATGTAAATTTATTTTCCAGAACAACAAGGAGTATGTCAAATAAAAACACCTGAATGTTTGAAAAGACATTTAAAAAGTTCACGCAGATTTTTCACGCTTTGCCATATTATGTAATAATCTTTAGAAATAACTTTAAATTCAGCATAAATCGCCATTGTTAAACCGAAAGAAATGCCTTACATTTTATTATTATTATGCCAAAAAACACAATTCCAGCCTAGCTGAAGTTTTATCCTACTTATTTACTGAATTAATAAGCTCTGGTTTCATACTGTTCACTGTCAAAGCAGCGACTTCTTGAGTCAGTTTGGTTCTATTGAGCTCAACTCAAGTTCTCAACAAAAATGATGTTAAGGAACATTACAAGACAAACACATGAAATACAATTCAAACTTATAATTCTTATAATTCTCCCTTTGTGCATTATGGATTAGGTGGGAAAGAAGCAGACCCAGAAAAAAAACTAGAGAACTGATATTTGTTGTGGGAAAGAAAAATAAGTAGTTAAGTACCCAGTTAAAGCTTTGACTAGGACAGAGACAGAGCTGAACACATAAATCACTGAGCCTTTTCTATGGAGCAAAACACAAAGTGAGTACATGTAGTAATTGGAATCAATGACCTTTTCCAGAAAAGTGATGGTGTTAAATACAAAATCACTGAACCAGTATCAGTTTCTATGTGAAGAATAACATGCAGAACCAGAAAGAGACACAGACAAACACAAACACTGGACTGAGCGGATTGTACTTTCTCTTAGGGGGAAAAAAAACAAACAAAAAAAACAAAACCCCAACAATAAGTGGCAACAATAGTTCTGACAAAGAGAAAAGAGATACAATTAAATACAGAATCGCAGAGTATGGAGGTGAGGACAGTAATATCGCTGTTCACGGTATCATCTGAGAAAGTGACGTAGGATTTATTTCTTTAGGAAAGAAAAACTGAGTGATTGAGAGCAATATCTCCATAAAAGTTTTCGTCAAAGAAAGAGAGACAATTAACACATTTAGCAAACTTAATGAAACTCAATGATAAAAAAAGTATTAGAAGCTGTTTTAAGATGGAGGACAGAGAAAAGTGGCCATCACTCCTCCAGCTGTAAGTCTGTAGCTAAAGGCTCCAACTGCAAGCTTTATCAAAAGAGGGCTGGTTTTATTGTAATTCATCTGGTGCAAATGTTAAATCGTGTTTTAGCAAAAGGAAAACACTCATTTAGTGTTTACTATTTTCACAAGGGAAGCGTTTTTACTGGTGGGTTTACCCCTCTCCAGCTCAGCTCTCCACCGAAATCTCAATCAAATCTTCCCACCTACTTCAGCAGCAAGACCTGCTGCAAGGCCCAAATATGTTAACTACATCTTGCACTTGTGCTTTCGATTGTCTCAGTCACAGCTGAATGTGTGGAAGGGCACCTTGAGGGTCGGTGGAGGGCCACTGCCCTTCCAGAGGCTGACAGAGTCATTTGTCAAACGAGGAAGGCCATGAATTCACTTCACCCGCTGTCTTTCTCTGAATGTTTAACCCCCTGTGCCACACACACACACACACACGCGCGTGCGCACTCACCTACACACACGCCACCTGCCCCTGCAATGCACGCGAGGGGATCCGGATCTGATGGAATTAGAGTGAGACAGGCAGAGAGTTTATTTAATTAAAAAGAGACAGGAAGAGGACTCCGTGACATCATTTCAATGTCGCCTCTCAGCCCCCTACGCCCGAAAATGTTAGCTGTCAAGAGCTCCATCTGGTAATCACAAGACCCACTCACATTCTCGTCCACGCCCGGACCGACACAGACGCCCGGGCTTCCGCACTGAGTCAGAGGTTCAGATGGAAAAATAAGACAAAAACGAGCAGAAACGCTCTTCCTCCCCACACATGTGGGATGTAAATCAGCTGCTCCAGTCCCACCGTATGTCCGTGACAACGTCACAGAGCCACAAACAGACTGAGCTCCTGTGTCGTTGCAGACGACGACGCCTGCAGGAAGCTTTTGAAGAGAGAAACTTCAGAATAAGTTCACAAAGGACGGTTAAAATTATTGGTTTTTTAACCTACTTTTCATTAACTGGAAGAAAACCGACTTTCTCCAAGAGGTTCTTAGTGCAAAGAAGCTGAACATTTGTATTTCAATTTATCGTCCACATAGATACTAATTACATATTTTCTTTTCTTGCATTTTGGAAATTATAAAATACCTAAAAGGCCTTAAAAGGGAGCAATAATTTCAAGCTGCAATAATTTCTGTGGAGAGAGTGTATTATCACTCAGTAGTAATGAGACCATCCCCACATCATCCCCAGCTAATATTAAAAATCTCATTTCCCTAACTGACATTCACTTTAATGATTGCTTCATTAAAACTACTCTGGAAATGGAAGCTCAATTTCCCTGCAATGCACAAAAAGGCAAAGGCCATTTCAACTATTTTAATTTCTATTGATTGCATTTTTTCAGACTTTCATCCTCTAAATACAACTGAGGCTGCAAACGAGTCTAGAGACACTGGAAAAAATGGACACTGAAATGTATTTATTTATTTATTTATTTATTTATTTATTTATTTATTTATTTATTTATTTCAATAAAATCCAACAACAATCAGAAATATTTTGTCTGGACTGGGGAGAAGAAGTGTCGCGCTGTGGCTTCTTTCTATTGAAAATAGAAGAAGAGAAAATACATTTTATATTTCTAATGACAATTAAAGACTCCAGATTCTGGAGGAAGAGTGAGAAGGGGCAGAATCCATATTGCTTGAGGTCCAGTGATGATTTAATTTGCTTTTATGGAGATGCATTAATTCTCCAGCAGGACTTTGCGCCTGCTCACCCATCCAAATTTAACGACCAGTGGAAAGAGACTGGTCAGCAAACTGGCCTCACCTGAATACCATTCATAAAATATTGTATTATATTGAGCTGCTTTGTTCATACTCAATCAATATGAGTTTGAAATTTACATATTGATTAATTTAAATTTACATTGACGTTTCAGTGGTTGTATTTGTTTTCTCTTCGATGCTGCATGGTCTTCACGTAAGATGTGTGATACACGGCCAGTATCGCTGATACCGATACGTTTTATCTAAGTTTTATCTAAGATTTTGATCTTTACGTTTTTGTGTGTTTTTTGTCTGAATTATTTACTTCAAACCTTGGACAGAAATTGAGCAAAATGTATAGATATCTAAAATGTGTTGGAAAGATCTATTAAAATGATCTGACTTGGTATTGAAATCAATGTTATGGATCAATTCGACCACCTCTGGTTTTCATGCGTACCAACTTCTAGTATTTATTCAATTGCCCTTTTAATTTGTTTTTCCGTACGAATGGTTCTTAGTTGCTGCTGTGATGTATCTGGACATTTTTGGACTTCTGTTTTGTACTTAGTTATATCAGGTATGCAAATATTTTCCGCTCCTCAGCTTTTCTATACCAACCATAAAATTGAGGGNAATTATTAATTCAGAAACAACAATACTGATGTTTTAACTCGGGAAGCGTTCAGAAATCAATATTTGGTGGAATAACCAGAAGATTTCATGTAACCTTTATTGAATGTGATTGTATTATGCTATGGCTTACACAGTAAAGTAAAGGCTTCTGACTTGACGGTTGTTCATCAGACAGAAAGAAAAAAAGAGTAATTGCAGAAGAAGTTGCCTGTTCACAAATTGTTGTGTCAAAGGATGTTGATGAAAAGTTGAGTGGAAGAAAAAAGTGCACCAGCAACACAGATAACTGCAGCCTTGAGAGATTTGTGAAGCAAAAACAATTCAAGAGTTACATGGAGAATGGAAAAATATGCTTTATTGTTTTAACTGAATATGGTAATTATCAGAGAAACTGAATCAACACTAGCTATCAGGCATAATTACGAAAGTAAACACTTGAAATATATCACTCTGCATGTAATGAATCTGTTTAACATGAACTTAATTTTTTTAAATATAACTGCTGATAAATAAAAGAAGTTTTAAAAGAGGTTCAGATCCATGTTGCTTTTAGGTAGAAATGTTTTGATAAAACGAACCTTGAATGCCATTTCTAAAACTCATCTGTGTCCTCAGTTCACTCACCGTGTCTCAGTTTGTCTGAATGTTTAGCTGACTCTGCAAACATTTGTCACGCTTAGACTTGTGACTGCATGATGAGTAACCCACACACTCACACAACTCAAGAATGACAACATTTCTGCTTACAGATCAAATTTATTTTTACAGCTTCACTTTTCTTTACCTTACAGGATTCTCCTTCTGCTTCATGCGGTTCGAGTGACGGCAGCCATTTGCTAAATATCTGTTATTATCTCTGGTAATTCAGTAGCACGTAGTTAAGCCCTAAAACAGTCTGATGAGTCACTGCCAGTGTTTTATAAGAGACAATTACAGTGGCTGAGGCACTTTTGTTTCAACGTCTGCATGACAGTACGCTTCAGTGAAAGAAAATAAGTCAGTAAAGTTTTCCAGAATGAGGTATTTTACGCGGGGTCGGTGCAGCTGCCAGATCAGATTTTTGAAAATATAATAAGAAAGTCCCAGAGTTTTATACCTGCAGCATCTTACAAGTTTTCCGTGTTATTTGTAAGTCTAAAAACACATGACAGATCATTTTTGTTTAAAATATGAGACAACATGAGGCCTGGATACCAGGAGTGCGCCTGTTTGTTGGGCAGCCGATTTATTGGTGCAGATTTTCTTAACTTTAGGAGATCGGTGATCGGCCAGTTTTACATGCAACCAGCCCACCAGGTCAAGTCTGCAAGACTACAGTTAAAAACTGTCACCTTATTGTTGCCAATTCAGCTACTTTCTTGCTATAACAAGCAAAATTTCAGATGAAATAAAATCGGCATCATCCAAAATCAGAATTGGCAGGTTAGGCTTTTTTAAAAAATCGGCAATCGGCGATCAATGCAATGTCAAATTTATTTATATAGCACGTTAGAAACAAATTTAAAACTGCACCAAAGTGTTGTACAAAAATGATAATAGAATAAGTTGATGAAAAAAATATGAGTATAATGTTAAAATAATAGGAGTAATAATAAGTCAAAAAGAAAAAACAGTAACCAGATCGGCCAGAAAACTGCAATCGGTGCAAACCTACTGCAAAATTCAAACAATTTTCTGTGAAAATAACAAAACTTAAAGTAAACTAATGCTTTAAATACGACTAAAAAATAAAGAAAGTTTTTAGTTTAAAGTGCAAAACATGTAATACTTTACTGTAATCCCTGTAACTGCTAAAATGTTACAAAATATGGATTTTTTTTACTTACAATGCACTTTGTTTTTCTTTTTCTGACTTTTAAAAAAAATCATGTAGCCACTTTTATATGTTCTACCCTAAAATGAAAATCTAATAGTAATCAGACTAGATTTTACATCATGACTGTTTTTGTATTCATTCTCCAGGAATCTTTCTTTCCAAATAGAAAAAATTATTTTTCTTGTAAGTTAGAGAAAAATAGCAACCAGTTGACAGGAAGTGGGAGAGGTGCATGTGTCACTCTATGCATCATTCAGCCAGCTAAGAACTCTGGGATTTTTTTTTCTAGTCACTCATTAAAAATAGTCTGTGTTGTAGAAGTTGTAGGAAAAATGGGTCAGAGGTTTTTTATCAGACTGATTCTGTGTTTTTTCCCTATTTAGATTACAATGCAACAGATTCTGTCATTTTTTCCAAAAAAAAAAAAAATCTTCAACTGTTGTAAAATATACACGCAACAGTTTGAACTACTTACAAAAGTCAAACCAATAAAAGTTTATTTCCTCTTGCTATTTATCCACTGAACAATTTAGACTTTCCACAGAACTCAATCTGGGTTTTTTTTCTTCTTCATGTCCAACAAGAACATTCAACACAAACTGTGAAACAGCACTTGGGTTTTTATGGCTTGGTGTTTTCACTGGAGGTCCAGAGGAAACACAGGTGTTTGGTCAGGTTCCTGGATGTAGGAGAACAGGCTGTGGGTTGAATTAGAGCCTCTGCAGGATCACGGCCCTGCAGACAGCCATCAGCTGCTACCATGAATAGAAGCTCTGTGTGCTCTGGCAGCATCCACCTCCACTGGCCTTTCAGTAAATAGACTGCCAAAAAGCACCGAGTGATTAGAAATAGCAAGTGAGCTGTAGGAAAGTCACCAGAAGAAGAAAAGACAAACAAGAAAATTTTCCAGGGTATATTGTATGTATTTAGGGATGTTTTTTTGCGTGACTCCACTTTGGGATTTTAGTTTCACTCTGTTGTATTTTATATTTTCTCTTCTGTGACTTTGAACTGAACCCACATCTGCTGAATCTGAAAGTTTTTACTGTCTTGGGCCAAAAGCAGTACTGCAGCTTTAAGGATGAAAGAGCCTGACACAAAGTGGTGAAAAAGTATTTGCTCCCTTAAAAAAGAATATGTCCATTTTTTTTTTATGTTTTTGGGTCATAAATTATAATATCAGTCAAAGATTAGTTGAGTAAATACAAAAACCAGTTGTCAAATATAGGTTTTATTTATTAGTTTGTTACGGTATCCTGTAGAAAACATAATACAAACTTTTTTTGTGATTTTCACATGTATTAGAGAGCTGGATTTAAATTTATCTGCAACTCTGTGGCCTGAATCCAACATGAAGGAGGCTAAAATGTATCAAACAAATTTTGCCCCCAACCTAAAGAAATTCAAGGACAGATGAGAAACAATGGTGGGTTAATTTGCCCTTCTCAGAGCCTGACAGGCGGGCCGCCGCCGGTAGAGGTTTGTCTGATTTGCCCTGTGTATTGTCTTGAAGGCGTAACGCCAGGTTAAACCGTGGAACAGATTAGTTTCCTCCACATTAACAGAAGTTTGTGAAGCTATGTTATGCGTTTTATTTAGTGTGATAAATTTTATTTTGTCAAGATTGTTCATTCTTCCAAGGTGAATTATAAAAAAAATGTAATTCATTTTTTAGACAAAAATAGACGATTTTTTGGGAAATTGTCTGTTTTTTCAACAGAATTAGGACTATTTTGGTCAGGTTTTTATTCTAATTTGATTTAAAGAACTCCAATCTTCTGACTAAATTGATTACATTTCTGTGACATTATCACAGTGTAAATGTTACAAACTTATGTGAGATATGCATTTTGATGCTCATGTTCAGTGTAATGACATGATTGAGCAAAACCAATGTGATTTTTGGATTCAGCTAATCAAAATCACTCTAAAACGATCGGAAAAGCTCAAGTTTTGGTTGCTGACCAGTGTTATTTAAGTTAAGGTTTGCAGATTATTTTTGTTTATTCCCAGAGTGAAAGTAAAACCAAGATTTAAATATTAACAATTTAGTAAATCGTTAATATTGAGTACAATCCGAGTCTACTATCATGCAAAAACATGACAGTAGACTCCATCTTTATTATATATTCAATGTTTGACTGACATTAAAGCTCTATTGGAGAAAATGTGTATGTTGAAAACAGGTTTATTTGAAGACACTGGAATGTGCAGCCGTTTTAAAGCACTCATGTTTCGGTTATTAGAGACTGAAGTATAGGAATTAGAGGTGGTTTGCCCAGGGCGCCAAACAGGGTAGGACCGCCTCTGTTTCTAAGGTGCTGTTACTCCAGTAAACCACTCTGAGGGCAGTGGCCGACCCAAAAGAACCCAGAACAACATATAAAATAAACGCATCAAAATCTAACCACCATGTCTTTCTTTCCCCCCCCAGTTCTTGCTGTGCTCCTCCTGCCACAAGGTAAAACATTCATCCTTCTGCGTCTTCATAAAAGACGAATTTCTGATTAATTTAGGTAAATGTGTTGATGCATTGTGTCAGCTTGGGGTCAAAGCAGCAGCAGCAGGCCTGCTGTGGTGGAGGCCAAGAACATCACCCTCCCTGCAGGCTCCAAGGCCGTCCTGCCCTGCCACAGCCCCCGCATGGTGTGGACCCAGGACCGGCTGAAGGACCGTCAGAGGGTGGTCCACTGGGACGTCGTCCACAGCAGCCCGGAATATTCGGTGGAGCGGGTTTTGGACATGTCGCCTGGAGCTCGGCAGAGGGTTTACAACGGCTTCAATAAGGGGCGCGTCTCCATCCCGGACTCGGCTTTCACCGACGGAAACTTCTCGCTCGTCATCAACAGTGAGGCTGTTTTGGTTTTCTGTAGTGTCTCGTAAAAGTATTAACAACCATTTAATTTTTTGTGTTTACAGTCATAAACGTCAGTGTGAAAATTGCTGTTTATTATTTCAAAACTGTGTTTTGGGGTACATGTCACCCAACTTCGCTGCAAAAATACAACATTTTACCAAGAATTTTTGGTGTAGTTTCTACTGCAAATATCCTTGTACACTTCGCATAAGACAAATCTAACTTATAAGTAATTTTTTAGCAAGATATAGAGGCTTGTTTTATGTCAATGATTCCTTATTATTGATGTTCCATTGTCAGATTATGTAACTGGTAACAAGACGTTTATTAAGGAATTACTTACTTAAAACAAGCACCTATTTCTTGCTGAAAAGTTGCATTTAAGTTAGTTTATATTAAGATATCTGCACTAGAAACTAGACAAAATTACTTGGTAAGATTTTATGTTTTTGCAGTGCACAATTTTCTGTTTATTCAGTCTGTACTCAATACATCTGACACAAAATAATGCTAAAACTGAATGATGTATTTTTTTTATTCAGCATGAAGATTTTAGCCATTTATGAAATGGAAAGACAGTTTGCCCTCTTCATACAGGAGAAAACTGAGGTTTCTAAGAAAATAGCCCCTTATCAATTAACTGATAAGATCAACCAACTCTATATTAACTCATTAATCAATAACTTGCAGCCCAACTTGCAAACATTTATAATAATTGTTGAGCAGGGTAAAACTAGCTAAGCCTGGTGGTAGGGGGCGCTGTAGGGCTGTCATCCAGCAGCCTACTATGTAAGAAATAAAAATGTTTAAAGTTGCCAGGAAATTTGGAAAATATCAATAGGTAATTATGTTATTGAAAGACTTCAACAATACCTAAACACCAACCATAAAGTGTTAAGAGAGGCAAATGTTAGCCAGGTGGGGTTGCAAGTAAAGCCTGGTGGCCCGCCAGGCTTATAATAGAAGGAAACCTTGGTTGAGTGTTTTTTTTTTATCTTTCAGATGTTGTAAACACAGACAGAGGAATTTATACTTGCAACTTGCACCACCACTACTGTCAGATTCACGAGTCCATTCAGATCCAGCTCAACGTCACCAAGTCAGGTGAGGCCATCCGGTGGTGCAGCAGAATAATTCAAACTATCAGCTGAGATTCACAACGATGTGGTTCTTCCAGCTCGGAAAGAGAAGCGCTACTGGGACGGAGAGAAAACGGTGCTGGTGGTGCTGCTGGGCAGCTCCATCGTGCTGCCCTGCGTTAACCGCCGGGCCCTCTGGAGAGACGGCCTCCAGGAGGACCAGCAGCAGGTGGCGCACTGGGACTTCCAGCCCCCCGGGGTGCGTCCCAACAAGGCTGACCGACTGGTGGACCTCTACGCCTCCGGAGAGCGACGGGATTACGGGCCTTTGTTTGCCCAGAGCAAGATGAGCGTGGCAGAGGACGCGTTCACGTACGGCGACTTCTCTCTGTCCATCTCTGACCTGGCGCCTGAGGACAAAGGCCTGTACTCCTGCCACCTGCACCACCACTACTGCGGTCTGCACGAGAGGCGCATCTTCAGGCTGACCGTGGGACCTTCACTACCACGCGAACCCACAACGCCTCCGAGAATCTTCTTGAACGATGAGCTGGAACCAAGTAAGTGAGTCAGGCTTAAGAGAGTTCGACCAGAGATTTGTTTTACGGGCATCTACTGCTCCTGCTTTCCTCTCTTGGCTTCCTGGGAAGAGTGTGGACAGAGGGAGTTGATTGCTCTGGGTGTTTTTCATATTTACAGGCATAGTTGGTCAGTTAACTCAGACTCTGCTCCTGCCAAGTTTCTCCTCAGTCCTCCCTGTTTTTCTGCTTGAGCTAAAGAGGGAGGAGGTTCTACTGAAGGAATGTAGAGACCAGTTGAGTGAGAAAGAAACAAAGAGGTGAAAGGAAAAGGAGGCAAATCTCTCTGTAGTTTGATGACCACTAATGTGGGATTTTTTAAATCAGTTTCTTTTTTGCCTTTCTTTCTTCAGGACCTTTAAACCGCCTGCAGTGGAAGCGGTGTAAATTTCCCCACCAACTGTTTTATATTTTACAACGCTTTGTGTAGCTTCACACATTTTAACTGCGCTTACTTGAAGGAGCAGACCAAGCAAAGTGCTGTAATTTTGGTGTTAGGGTGGGGATATCTTGCCTTTTTGTTCTCCTTTAGTCTAATTTTCCAGAAAGTCCCGGCCCTCTGTCTAGACCAGTGCGGTATCGGCTCTGCTGTTTATTTTTTCTCAAGCAGCCTCTGCTGAAGTGTATCGGCGTCTGGCAGGGCCATGTTTACTCGCAGTCAGAGGAAGTCCATCTACATCTGTTCAACATCTGGGCCAGCTGTTACATGAAAGAGCAAAGCGAGGCTGAATGCATGTCAGACTATAGATTCTCCTCCCCTCTTCAATAGCTGCCAGCCCGTTTAATAACGCTGTAAATTACACTGAGAGGAAAAGAAATGCACACGTGGAGCCGTGGGATCCAAATTTCTACAAGGTGTTCAGCCTCTCTTCCCACACTGTCGATCTAATCTCGAACGGTTTGCTCTCTCCCAGGTTTCCGAGCGTCTTTATCAGAAACGACAAATGTCAGGAGAGCTTTTCTTTTTCACGCTGCAATCGCTCACGTCGAGTACAAACCGACTGCGTCCTCCTTATCACAAAGAAAACATTTTGCAAGCTGTCAACAATTCAGCTCAAATCTCAGTCTTTGAAAATGAAGATGCTTTTCTTCGGTTCATTGACTTGCAAATGATTCATGGCCCGCTGAGCAAAAGAAAACAACATAAGAAACAAAAGAGAGAGCGAGTTTCTGCGAGCAGCATATGTGAAATAGCCTTTGACGCGAACAGACTCGTCTGATCTGTCAGGGTGATGTTAATGGGCGGCTCCGGCTCTCTGCAGGTCAGTTGTTCTCCAGGGAGGCGCTGACCTCAGACTTGTCTCCATTTGCATGCATATTAGGTACATTATACAGTGACAGTTGATAATTAGCTCCACCAGTGGGTGGTGGAGGTGTTTTATTTTTTCTTCACGTTTGGCTGGTTTTGGAAGCCAGAGGTTTCCTAATCAGCCGTCTTCCTACCTTCAAGGAAAGAAAAAAACACGTCTCCTCTCCACCTGTACGATTTGCTTTCATCACCAAAACAAAGTCGCCTTCATCCTCTTGCCTGTTTACCGCCCAGCATTGAGCTGAATGATTTGTTTTCCACTCACGCAGCAGCTGGATTTCTGGGTGTTTGCGAGAAGACTTAAAAATTGCTGTGAATGGAAAACTAATGCAGACATGCAGGCCGACCACATTACTGAAATTGCCTTGGCTTCCTCACATTTCTCCTCTTTTCTGGTCAGTCTGTGTTTTTACTGAGGAGAAGAAAAAAATAGCAGCAGCATGACACCGGGCCTGGAAGCCATTAAGCCGCTCTGACATTTAACTCCCTGCTTTCCCTCTTCTCTCTGGAGGGAACAAAAAATATTCAGTGCGTTTTCTGTCCAAAGGTATTCAGACCCTTTAAACCTTTTTACCTTTAAGTGTTCAGTAATTCTGAGTAAATATTTCAAAGAGTCACATTTAGCTTTTGTTACAGCCGCATGTTTTCCAGGGCTTTGCACATCTGGACTGGGATATTTGCTCATTTTTCTTAGCACAATAGCTAAACCTAAATCTTATGCTTTTAATTGGATTTAGCTCTGTGTTGACTGAGCCTAACACCTGAGTATGCTTTGATTTTAAAGTATTTCATCATAGATCTTGCTGTATGTTAAGAGTCTTGATCTCTGCTTCAGTCTCAAGTTTTTTTTTTTTTATTGTTTTGTATTTAGCTTCATCCATCTTCCCATCAGCTCTGAACAGCTTTCCTTCCCCTGCTGGAGAAAAACATTCCCCAAGCATAATGCTGCTTCCACCATGTTTGAATGTTATGCTCATGATAATAACCAGCTCTAGTTTCTGCCACAAATAATATTTTGCACATATTTCACTTATGGTATCATCTGGGTAGAGCACTTTCTCCTTCATCTTATGTTAACTGTATTTATTAATTAGGTGGATTTTAAAGGAAATTTTATTTATGGGCATCAGAATATAAAGCCACGCTGCACATTTCATAATTTTGTTGGCTAAAAATATTTTCTAAAAATCTTTTCAAACCATTTTATGCACTGAATTGTCTTTTCAAATAAAATCCTGATGAATGCATTAGACTTTGAGCTATGCTAACACTAAATTGTTATCGTTTAAACTGTTATCTCTTCACTTAAAGTTGCATCACTAGAGGTCCTTGTTTGATTTCCTCCCCCCTTTTTCTGCCTCCAGAGACGGAGGAGGTTTCAGAGGACAGCCCCCGCGTGGTGAACGTCTTCCTCCCTGAACAACGGGGTTATTTCGTGCAGCACCTGGGCTACTTCCTGGCAACCTTCCTGCTGCTGGCTTTCATTGTCATCGCTGTCATCGTGTTGACTAGGCGACGGAAAAAGAGAGGTAATCTGTTTGTTTTTTAGCTGTAGTCTTTCATTCTGTTTTAATGTTTTATCTGAACATTTTGTGCATTTTCATTCTCATCACTGGTTGCTTGTTTCAGGGTTGGAGTACGAAATGGGTAGATCTGTTGGGTAAGACATGATTCTTTACTAAATACTAAAATATTCTCCTTTTTACGTTATGTTAATGAGAGTGCTTATGTAGTGCTGGAGTACTCACTTTTAACCCAGAAAAGGAATTAGATTAGTCACTCTTTAGCTTTTTTTTTTTTTAGAAACTGTAGAGTACTCACTATTTAGACCAATATTCTACTTCTTGGAATAATTTTGTTATGCACAGAGACTCCTATTATCGTAACCTAGAAATGGAATTAGAACAAACTTAGAATCCAGAAAGAAAATTATTCCAGAACAGGAACATTTAGTTTTTATTATTATTTAGAGACTGTGGAGTACTCATTACTTTTACAAATTTAGAGCACACTTAGAAAGTCCAGATAATGCTTACTTACACTTATTTAGCAACCCAGAACAGGGATTAAAACAAACTTAGAATCCAGAAAAACTACCTTAGCAACTGCATTTTAGACTCCTGTTCTTCCAAACCAGAAAAGGAATTAGACCAGAGGATTCTTACTTACTCATACTTAAATAGTAACTCTGAATAGCAGTACAGTATTTTCCGGACTATAGAGCGCACCTCACTATAAGCCGCATCTACACATTTAAAAAAAAATAAAAAATGGAAACGTACATATACAAGCCTCTCCGCCGCTCTTGGTTTTCACAAGGACGCAGCAGAGGGCTGCATCCTTAATAAACCTGCTGGATTTATTAAGGAGGCAGCCCTCCGTCTCCAATGCCGAACCATGGATTCGTTCACGCCAAGTTTACGTGCAGCGGCTCCATTTCCCTACTGCCAGATTGATAACCCTCAACTTAAAAGCTGCATCTTTTTCTTCATGTGGTTTCCATGATGAGGTGGTAGGAGTTTGAAGAAATTTCTCCGTCATGCCTGCTAAATGAAAATCAGCACTTTCTAAATGAAAATCAGCGCTTTCTTCTTTGATTTCCAATTTTGACTTCCAATGATTCATTCCTGCTAAAGCGCCCCCTGGTGGTTGAAGAAAAATCTACAGAAAAGCTGCACCGGGCTACAAGCCGCATGGTTCAAGGCGTGGGGAAAAAGTAGCGGCTTATAGTTCAAAAATACGGTATCTAGTTTATATACTTTGGATCAACATTATTAGACTACTGTTCAGTCTCCTGTTCTTCCAACCCAGAAATGGAACTAGATCAGAGGATACTTAGCAACCCTGAACAGGAATTTACATACTTTAGATCAACTTTAGATTCCTTTTCTTCTTTTGCTCTTTCCTTTGGTTTGTTATTTTGTTTGTGTTTCCTTTTAATTCCTTTAACGCACTTTGTATAGCCTTGTAGCTGAAAATGCCCTACCTTATGTGTGTGCAGGGGGACTATGATCAGTGAAGGTGAGATAGCATTAGACTGCACAGAGATGAGGACTTACAACCAAGACTCCTTGAATTCAGGTACTCTGAACCTAATTTATCCTCAAGCAGCAAACGCATGTGGCTTCTTCTGGCTACTAATGTGAATTTTTTCTTGTTTTTTTTTTGTCTGGTTACCCATGTATTTTCTCCCACCTCTACAGAATTCAAAAACAACCTACTGAAAGAAAGAGATATGGTGAAAGAGTGCAATAAGGGTGAGGCATTCTTCAATGCAAGTGCAAGAAAACACAACCAGACACAGAAAGCTGAAGGCTGCCCTCTTTCTCTTGCAGAATTCGATGGGAAGATGTGGAAGTGAGCGAGGCATTTCTAAGATGCTGCTGGCAGGTCCAGGGCAAACACCGGCGGCGCAAAGAACGACGGAGAGGAAAAAGGAAAAAAAAAAACAAACAAAATAATGACACAGGAAATCCAGGAGAAAACACAGGAGGATTACTCCCTCTGCTGTAACAAGAGCAAACAAAGCTTTTCCACTTTTAAAGGCTTTACTCTTTACTTTTTACCCCTTTTTTATCATATATGTACAGCTTGCAATTTGATCAATGAAACTATATGGTTAGTTAGATTTTGTCCACATTTTTTCTTCAGTTATTGTTGTTTAAAGCATTCAGCTTGTTGCGATACGTGCTATGCATGCTCTCACATCACTTTTTTATTTTCTAATTTTTTTACTTTCAATCTTTTGCAGAAATTCAGTTGTACTGTAATATGTAAACTATACAATACAAAACAATTCAGTCTTATTTATAAAGCACTTTAAAGTAACACTCTTAGCAAAAGTGCTAAAATAAAACAGACATAAAAACAAATCAACAATTAAAACATTAAAGCTAACACCTCAAGCTGAGTCAAAAGCCAAAAAGCTATTATAAAAATAAACTATAAGGTCAGTTTATGATTGAGACATGTGAAAGTGATTAACCGTAATACGGGCAGTGTGGTTCTCAGCCCAGGGTGGTAGCTAGTTGGGAGTTTTAAAAGCTTATCTGCTTGTCCTGTCCACTGGGGAGTGAGCGCCCCCCGGTGTTAGGAAGGTAAAAAATGTTCAACTCCAGAAGTTTAAGTCAACCACGTCACATATTTCTTCCAAATGCAGCAGTTCACTTTCCTTAATGTGCTAATCTAGTTTCACATCTAACCTTTTTGGTTGTTATAATTCACAAATATGTGCAGCATCAGGGTGAATTAGCTCAGTTCTGACTCTGACATGGCAACGTTTTGAGACTGAGGTGCAGATTATGGCCTGTGATCTCATTTTGTGGAGGGTGAAAAATATTAGCTGCTAAAACTTGGAGGTTATTGGGTGGGTTATAGTGTCAAACTCAAGGCCCGGGGGCCAAATCTGGCCCGCTGTAGCTTTTTATGTGGCCCTCCTGACTCCAAATTACGTCAAGTCCCATCATTTCTTTTTTTTACAAATCAGAAATATTCACTCAAAATCAACAGATCTCCACATTTTTACTGCATATTTTCTTCAAAAATGGCCAAAAACATTGGGTTTAAGTCACTGCTACCTCAGTCGATGTCAAGTTACAGTCCATGACGGATGAGGTGAGTAACAAAAAGTCGTATCGTCATACATTAGCGCAAATATCATAAGATTTCCTCACAAATATTTCTGAATTAGCGCCACAAAATCTGTGATTTTGATTGCAAAATTACACAAAAACAATCACAAAATCCTGAAGGGACAGACAATTATTAATATTTTAACAGTTTAATGGGTTTTATCAATACATTCTGGCACAAACATTCAACTTTAATTTTGATACAGCCCAAAATGAAAGCTTGCAGAGGGTTTGTGTGCACATGGGGAATATCATCCAGGTATTTGTATTTCTTTTAGCGAACAAATAAAAAACCCCAACTTATTTTCTTCCCCAAACTTCCCATTTAAAAGTTTTTCCTCAAAAGAAAAATTCATTTTCTAACTAACAGTGGTCCGAACTGAGGGCTCAGTCAGTGGAAACTCAGGAAATATCTGAATGTTCCAGTAAAAGATTAAATTGTACTTGTTTGCCTCAAGTATGTAGAATGTCATGACTTGGTTAGTACATCACTAACTTTATTAAGGTAACCTTACATTTTCTATGAACTGTGCAGGTATTTGTGTCTGTTATTGTAAATCACAAGCTCAGTGCCTGTTTCTCTGAAATAAAGATTTTCTCTCATTACAAATATTTTCTTTGGATTAATTAATGGAGCATGGAAAAAGATGTAAGATAAATGATCAAATCTAGCTCTTTGGTCACTGAAATGTATTCAAAATGTCAAGTAATTTAGTTAAAAATCTGATCTATTTTGTCCTCATACAGTATTTCGTTTCATTTTTAAATTGTGATGATTATGACCTAGATGAATAAAATTAGAAATTAAAATTTTTCTGAAATGTTTTACATTTTTTTCCTTTCTAAAAAATTTGAATTTATAAATTTAGTTTTAATAAAAATGTAATTAAATGTTAATTAATTTTAATTAAAATTTTAATAAAAAATAAAATTAAAATCAAAACATAAATTTGTAAAAAAAAAATTTTTTACAAAAAGCTAATGATAATACTGACATTTAAATTAAGAAACGTGATGTTATGGACTACACAATCATGGGAAGACTACTATTCCAGCAGCTACTGACAAAAAAGGATAAGCAGCAAAAATTGAAAGTTGAGTGGAAGGAAAAAAGTGAGGTGGATAAAGACTCATAAGCAAAATCAAAGCCCATCTGTTGAATCTGGAGAAGATTTGTAACCTGTGACCAGAGTCAGTTCTTCCAGACAAACATCCAGGACTTGGACTTGAACAGAGCATTCATTCAGCTGCTGCTGAATCAGAAACAACGTTGGAACCGTCTTACCTGGGCTACGGAGATAAAAGACGAAGGACTTTTAGATTAAAGGGAATTTCTCTTTTCATTTGTAACATAAGTTGACAGAGTTTAAGTTTGCGAGCCGTGTGAGTTCAGGTGTTGACCACTGAGTTTTATCGAGTCCAAAGTCAACACTGTTATCGACTAGGACATTTTAGACAGGAAAGCTTCGTGGAGAATCTGATTCCAGTTTCCACAACGGCTTGGAACTCCAAAAACTACCAGTAACTGGTTTGACTGGGTAAACTGGCCTGAGTCCTACAGAGAACCTATGAGAAACAGCTCGGCCCTGCTGGAACCCATATGGTCCAGAGGAAGACAATCTGAGCTACACTAATATAGATAATTTACACACAGACGGATGTTTCAAAACCTTTATTTCTGTTAATTGAACGAAAACATGACATGTAAAATTAGAAAATGATATCACATCAATAAAATAAATGAATAAAAATGTGGACTTAATGAAAAGGATGTTTAATTTTAATGTGACTCACGCTCATAGAATATATATTTGAGTTTGTTAAATATAATATTTTACAGCAGAAACATTTTTGATAATGAGTCTGCTTTGTTTTTAGAACAGCTGAAGCTCTGAGATGGATGTTTTAGAAACACTTGTTTGGTCATATAAAATATTCAGATTTTCTCAGAAACTGGATTTTTGGTTTGTCTTTAGCTGTGAGCCATAATAATCTGAATCAAAAGTTTCAAACTTTTTGAAACAGGGGCTAAAACCGTATCTGTTTTTTAATAATTAAAAAAAAAAGCAAAAATTATTTTGTAAAATCAAACTAAGTACAATAACTTAAAGAAATGTACTAGTCTGATTTCTTTACAGGAAGCATCTTTAAATTGTTTTAGATGCATTCTAGGCTACAAGAACATGATATGAATGAGTCCCTCCTTAAAAAACAAACAAAAAAATTATTTAACCTTTATTTAATACTTTTGAGTAAAAGTTACTGTATGTTTGAGATGTTATGTACTGTCATTATGTAAAATTAAAAGAAAAATAGTCTCTGTGTTGCTAAAGATTTCTAGTTTAAGATTATTTTAATTTTATCAGTGAAAATTTCACTTTAATTTGCTTTAAGCAGAACAGCCTGGTGAAATAAACCTGCAATAAATTTATCCTAATCTAAATTAACTGGAATAAAATCACTTTATACCGTTTCAGTTAGACTAAAATGGCTAAAAACAAACTCATTTATAAAATATATTATTTATTATGATGGATCTTTATTTTTTTTATGTAAAAAAAAATAAATAACAAGACGTGCCTATAGCTTATTTGCGCTTTATTAGACCGTTTCTTTGTTTCCTGTACAGTGGGGTGAGGGGGTTGTGTAAGACGCAGCTCAGACTCGCCACTAGATGGCAGCACTGTCTAACCAATTAGAAAAATAGCAATATTCCCAACTCCATATCGCAAGGATGTGGACTGTCCCTTCCTGTTTTAGTGCCGAGAGAGCCACCGTAGCGCCTCAGACAGTAGCAGGAATACAGGCACCCACAACGCGATTATGTCCGGATTTTCGCCGCGTTCGTCGGGCACACGGAGCCGCACTACGCGCCGCGGGCTGCACCGCTTTCGCTGTTAGGGGACGCGGTTATGCTGTTCTCCCGGTAGCTGGTAACATAGCAGGCCTGTTTATTGCGCTGCCAACCCTTGTTCCTTTCCTGTGTCAATGATTGTCCTCCCCTCAGTCTCTCATGGCGGAGACTAAAATAATATATCACATAGACGAGGAGGAGACTCCTTATCTGGTCAAGCTGTCTGTTCCTCCGGAGAAAGTCACTTTAGCGGATTTTAAAAATGTCCTCAACAACCGACCCGTCAATAGCTACAAATTTTTCTTTAAATCCATGGACCAGGATTTTGGGTAAGTGGCCGGTTGTTATTATTATAATTTTTTTTTTTTTTCATTATTAGCCAGCTCGGGTTGCTGGTTTTCAGGGCCCAGATAGATGGAACATCAGTCGAGTCGGGCTGCAGCCTTGTTACCTGCGTGTAAATTGCAGTTGCATGTCTGTCTCCACGCTCCTGGCACCTGCTCATTATTCCAGGCGGCCCTGCGCTCAGCGGAGGAGGCACACGAGTTGTTTGAAGTGATACCAGATCCGTCCGGACGGAGCCCTAATGACGCAGCTCTGCACGGATTACATACACAGACCAGACCAGAACCCCCTGCTCCTCATATTAGTGACAATATCCCAACCAGCTGTAGCAGCGTGAGGGTCTGACAAAAGGTTCATGCCCAAGTTCTCAGGTTTCAAAATATTTGGCCTTTCTTTCACTTTCCCCTCCGCGGTTTAGTCACAGCATGTGGAGTTTTTTTTTTCTTTTCTTTTTCCAGAGGTCTGCTCAACTCATTAGGGATATCATAGGAATTAATGTGTACAGCAGGTGAATCCTGTGAATAATAACCCTCTAATAGTCAACTTCTTCAAGCCTTCTTCTAAATAAAACAATGAATATAAATTAGTAATGCACGGATTAAGCTTGGCTCGAACCGATTCCCAGTTTTTCTTAAGGACTCACTTTCCGATTCTGATTTTCATCGATTCTTCTCATACCTGGCACTCTATTGCATTCAGTTAGATGTTAATCAGTATATTTTCTTTGTAGAAAAGTGAATTTAAAAAAAAATGTCTAAGACATTTAAATGTAAATCAGATTTATAAGTATAAAAATAAAATCAGTGGAAATCAGAAACTCTTTTTAAGCCATCATCTTTATTATATGAGCTGCAAAACCGCACAATTTGTGATGTGAAAATAATACATAAGCCCAGGACTAGTCATGTGTTCCAGTTTTTGTTTTATTGCTTTTGCTGTTTAGCTAATAACTTTGAAAATTTAATCCAACTTTGTTTCTTCCTCATCTACTTCTTAAAAATTTTTCCTGTGATGGAAAAAACTTTTTGAGCTTAGAAACTTTGATTGTGGTTAGGATTATTATTATTCCACAGATTTTTGCACGAGGAATAATTAATTTATTGTGCGATATTTAGCAGAAACGTTCCCCTGTTTTGGTCATGTATCTTTTTCACGAGTGTGATTTATTTTTAGGACTGCTGAAGCTCTAACTATATGCAGCAAAAAATTAATATTACAAAAAGATTGTGATGAATTTTATCATCAGATTTTCCTAATTCTAGGTAAACCTAATAGTTACCTAATTCTGATTTCTAGAGGTTTTTGATACATGATTATCCCCATTTATTCATCAATGTTTACACATTATCTCACTTTTAATAAACTTAATGTGTTTATTGGTTTGATGCATTTATTAACAAGGAAGAATCAATGTAAAATCTAAATATTTGAGCTGCTGATTACCAATTAGACTGGAAAACATTGTGAGACTCCCATGGATCTATAAAAATACTTGTTTATTCTTTCCAAGAAAAAACAAAACATTGCTTTACTAGTTTATCCCAGAGTAATAGTGGTTAAGTTACACTTAAATTACCATAATGAGGACAAAGTGTGACATTTAATTGCACATAACATGTTTAAATAACTTCTCTTTTAAAAGAAATGGCGCGTGTGGAATAGGAATGTTAGCAAAGAATCACACCAAATTCAAATTTCCAGTTGTTTTGTTCAACAGCTAACATGCCGTTTCTAATTGGTATTTATGAACTAAATGATTAGAAGATAAAAGAACAGCAGTCAAATATTTCAATCCTTTTTGTGAGTATTCATTAGTTGTTTGAATAAGGAGAAGAGGACAAATGCACACTAAGATTAGCATCTTTTATTAGCAATTAGCTCAGGTAGCCTGAACAGCTAACTTCGTTCCAATGTTCGCTGTTGCTCTTTTCGAATTGTTTCTAAGCTTTCCTGCTTTGCTGACTTTTTTAGAAAACCTCACTAATACTGAAAGTGGATTCATTTGTGTTTCTTGGCAGAGAAAGATGGGATATTTTAGTCTTCTGACATCCGATCAAATTGAATATTGGGTGGATTTTTTATTTTTAATTTCGTTAAAGCACATGAGCTTCCTTTCACGTTTCTTTTCATCACCTTGTAACTTTGTCCTGGCTTTCAGGAATCCCAGCAGGTCTCCAGTTTGCTCAGTCAGCCAGCGGATGAAGTGTGTGTCATATGTGGGCACGGGTCACATTAATATGCAGTGCTGTAATCATGAGCATAGTTGGAGGAAGTGATTCCGCAGAGCCAAACATCACTTATTTCCACTGCGTTCTGGCCTGATGAGGGAAACTGGCTCTTCCTGGTCGGCCGAGTGCTTTGTCCCGGCTCTGGCTTCCTGCCTTCTCGCTGCAGGCCGGGCTTCTCGCTGGGCCTCAGGTGATCGACAAGCAGATTATGGAAACAAACAAAGCATATTTGCTCACTCCACATGGAGACATGACTCCATTTTCCTGAGCACTTTGCTATGAATGCCAGACGTTCTTGCATGATTGTGCGCTGAAAAAAAAAAAAAAGCAAAAATAAAAAAGGCATCTCGACATTCACTGCAGGCTTTGAGTTGAGGGTAAACATCCAGGCGCTCTGGGCGCCTTATGGTACTGGCACAGTATAGAAGTGAAGCCAGTCAAAGGCTGAAAAACGGTGCTTTGTGGTAGCCATACTGGCTGTGCTGAATCCAGACAGACGGTATGGCTGCCGGAGAATTAGCAACCACAGAATAAGAGTGCAGTGCAGAGAGGGAAAACATCAAATCCCCTTGCAGTTATATTCAGTGTTTGAAATGTAAATGAGCAGCCAGTGCTTGGTCCTCTGTAGTAGACCCCCTGTTGTGCAGAGGGGGGGGAAAAAAGCCAATTTCTTGAAGGATTTCTGGACTACATTTATGCTCGCCATATCAGCTCTTAAAGCGACGGCCACACAGATTTGGTAAACGTTTTGCACCCTGAGCGTATGTGAGCTCACCACAGAGAACATGGCATTTCAGGTTCCCCAGAATGCATTTCACCACCAGCTACAGCAACATGAACAGTGCATTTTGTACAGATTTATGCTTAATTTATTTTGGTTTTTCACGTTTTCTACAGTTACATTCCTCTGTTTGTCAGGACGGATAAAGCAGAAAGGAACCACGTTTGGGTTTGTAGTGACACAACCCACTCGCCTTTTCTTTTCGGAAACTTGAAGGTTACGTTACGGAGCTCCGCCGTCGCCGCCGGCGGTGGTGAGTAGGTTCGAGACCTCACTATAATTCAAGTCACAGAGACTCTCTGGTACTGAGGAAGCAGCCAAGCTGAAGGTCTGAAAGAAACAGGCTTGTTTGTGACTCAGAAAATAGAGGGGCTGGCAGGGGGATCTTTCTTTTGCAGAGATTGTGATGCAGAGCTTCTGTAGTTGAAAGGATGAAATTCTGCAGCTTTTTGCTCAGATGTACTCCTTTATCTCCTCACATACATTTGTGAGCTGAGGATTGCGACAAATTTGAAGGCTGTGCTGCAGTTTGTTGTAAACAGCAACACTTCCACTTTGGTAATGAATTCATGACAGCGACATGTGAGGGGAAATGTTGATTAAACTTTAGGATTTAATGGTGTTAATGATGTTATTACAACTAAATCTATATAATATAAATGTGAAAAAAGATTGAGGTAGTTCTTAAACAAATGGAAAATGAAGGAAATTTTATTAGTCTTGTATATTTATCAGATCTGCTTTTCATTTTGACAAAAAAATTTAAACTTTAGTTTCATCCAGATCCCTCAGGTCTTCTGGAAAATGTGTTCAGATAAAACCCAAAGTCAGAACAAAAACCCACGAGCTGAACTGCAACAGCCTTACTGAAGACTTGAGGACAGCAGAGACTATTGTTGTATTTAATAGGAAACTTAAGATGAATCCTTTTAGCTTGGCTTTTGGCTAAGCTTTGGTAATTAGGATTAATTATTTATTATCAAGTCTCATGTGAAGTTAATCATTTGCTTCATTTCTTTTTTTTGAGTTATATTGCCATGATTAATAAAATGTATTGCCGTTGTTTGAATTAAATGTGTCTATTTAAATGCCGATGGAGAAAGAATTGTCAGATTATAATCTCTTTGCCCGTCTATCGATGCAGATAAGCCCAAAATTATTCACGCTCTTGGCAAATTTAGGTTTGAAATTATTTTCTTTCTACCATGAAGTTTTTCTCCAACAGAAAATAACATAATTTAAGCATTCTTTAAAAGAGAATAGAACAATAGTTTTAGAATAATTTTTCAGTTTTTAATTACTTTTTCCATAAAAATGGCATGCTGAGGTTGAAAGGCCTCTTTTCCGTCACCCTAATCTTAACTTCCTCCACATTTTTTTATTTATTTTTTTATCAGATTCACGGTCAAACTAAAGGATTGTTTAAACTTTAATCTGCTGTGTTTCTCCTCAAAATGCTAATATAAATGGAGATAAATTTATAATTTAGTACAAAAGTCTGAAACTCTTACAATCCAAAGAGCCATGTTTGCTTATTTAGAGCTACAAATATTATCTGAACCTTAAAAAAATACAATTTAAATTTTCAGATAAGTATCTACTACTTGTAAATTTGTTGTAATTTTTAAAGAACCACAATTTTCTGTCTATTTTAGTCTTTTGGATAAAGAAAAATTGAGGTGTGTAAAAAGTGGATTGATGTATTTACTATGGGATGTTGTGTTTTTTTTTATTTAAAAAAAGCACATAACCCCCAACCTCTGCTTGAGCTTTTACTGCCTTGCTGTTGTGGAAATCCAGTTTATTTATTCCATGAAAAAAACTTGCATTTGTTTTGATATTTCTATTTAAAAACATGAGTTGCTTCTTTATCATTTTCAGACAAATATTGAGAGCTGCAGCGGGAGGTTCAAAGAGCCACTTAAAGCTGCAGAGCTGCGTGTAACAAACTCCTTATCTACTGAGGCTGTTTCTAATCCTTCTACCTACAAATACTCAGCTTTCCTGTTTCTGCCCACCTCAGACTGCTGCTGTGTGCTGATTTCTACCTCCTTCTGCTTTTTGGTTCAGGCTCAAAGTTTCCCACCGCGTTCTCCTTTCAAATCCCAAACAAACACGCCTTGATCTTCTCCAGCTAAACAAATATCTCCTGCAAAATATTCCATGATTGTCAGGGTGTAGCTTCTGCCATTAACCTGTAAAATCTGCTGAACCAGACCAGTGTAATAACCGAGAGCAGTGGCAGCTTCACACCAGTCTGCACGTCTCTCCACACGTGGTTTGTTTGTGTAACATTTTTAGTGCCTGAGCATGTTAGCAGTTCAAGAGGGCAACGCAAACCGGTCCTGATATCAGATGGAAGCTGTTAAAGATGTGATCTAGTACAGATTGAAAATCCAGCAGCTCAGTCCTGACAAACAGAAGGAAGAAGCACGGCTGCTGTGTTATTTATACAGACCACTCCCACTTCCTCTCAAGTCACCTTACAGCTGTGGAGAAGAGGATGCAAACACTTCCTAGCTAGCGAGCAGCCGGCGCGGGACGGCCGGGTTTTCGTCTCCCTCCCGTTTCCTCCCTGAGGTGGAACAGAGTCCTCGCTCTGCGGTTTCCAGCCACAAGGCTGCTTTATCTCTGCCCACCACTCCCAGCTATACAGCTCCCACAGCATCGCACACACACACGTACAAAAAAAAAAATGAAACATCTAACTTGGCTAATCATTTCAGTTAGCAGGGAAATTCTGGCAAACATGAAATGCTGGAGAAAAAAAAGAAGCTGTAAAGTCGATGCCAAAGACACCCCTGCGTAAAATCTTCTTAGGATTTTCTGCCGCTCTCATGTCGTGCCTCTCCCTTTTTATAAATCCTGTTCAAAGCCAAGGAGCTAATGTGAGATCTCCACAGAGTTTTAGAAACACTTGGTTGTAACAAATCAGGGAAAATCCCAAGAAATAAAACCACATAGACATGCAGGAGAGCAATAAGCTGAGAACTGGCAAATATGTCGCCGTAAGCCACTTCATGCGCTTTCCCCTGCGCCACAGACCAAGCAGGTGTGGAGTCGACTTGCTGCTGATCCGTGTCCCAGCAGGTCAAAGGGCAACTGTCAGGTATTTTTGTTGGGAATTTAGTGCTGAACGCAGTGAGGGAGCCTCTCACACCGGATGGCTCTATTAATACACGGTGCAGCGCCCTGACGCGCTGTCACCATCGCTCTGACTCATCCATCTGTTCATTCATCCATCCATCCTGCAACTGTTGAATAATTATGCAGCAGGAATTTACAAACAGCAACTGATTGATTATTTATTAGGAATTTCCTCTAATTTCATCCAAATTCAGTTGAAAAAGACATAAATCATATTTTTTCTCACTGTCTGACATTGATTCAGACTCAACTGTTCCTGTTGTAGCTGTGATTTTAATTAGGGTCCCATAAATCTGATCTATTTGCTAAATGCCAGAATGATGATGGACATACTTTTTTTTAAAAGAATTGAAATTTTGAAAGGCACACACATTTCATTAGTACAGGGATGTCAAAGTCATTTTCGTTTTGGACCAAATCAAGATCATGCATGCTCTTAAAGAGCTGGTTGTGCCAGAATGTATTAATAAAACCTGTTCACAAACTGTTAAAATATCAATAAATTGTTAAAATTAAATATTATTGAACATATTTTCAGTCCCTCCAGGATTTCACAATTCTTCTTGTGAGTTTTTGCAATACAAATCAAAGTACTAATTTGGAAATATTTACGATATTTTACGCTTATTTATAGATTTGCTCATTGATTTGATTGATAACATAATATTTAAGCACACTTAGTGTTTAGTCTAGAATACAAAGGGCCACATAAAATGCTAAGGCGGGTTGGATTTGGCCCACGGGCCTCAAGTTTGACACTTGCATTAGTATTTAATCAAATTGATTTTTAATTTGCATAACGGTTTAGGTATCCCATCCTATAGATTAAAGCAGTAATATGTAACTTTTATTAAAAAGAAAAAGTTTTTTTTTACATATGTATTAAAACTGCCACCATGTTGTGACAGTGTAATATGACAAAAATAATCTGTGAAAAAATCAATCTCCTCCATCTCACCACTCACAACCAAAACCAACCAATCAGAGCCAGGAGGCGGGTCTTAGCGCTGTCAATCAACCTTTCTAATGCTTTTCAATGTGTTAATGGTGGATAAACATGCTACCGTTACAGGAAAACCATTTATACACCATTATCAGTGGCCATGCTAACCAGGAAGATGCTGTAGCATAGCAGAGGGGGACAAGAGGATCCTTCTAGTTGGCAACCAATCTGAGCTTGAATTTTTTTTTTTTTTTTTTTACAGATTATCCATCTCATACTGCCACAACAGTTTCAACAAATGTGTAAAACATATAATTTTTTAAAGTTAAATTACTGCAGCTTTAACTAGTAATGGAGTGAAATATCCTTTTTCCAACCGTTTCAAAAGCTTGGTGAGGGATTTGGGTTCATCTTGTTGACTACATTTATCCAAATCTTAGCGGCGTCTGTGTGTATCTTGAGCTGTCCAGCCCTTGAAGCTCATTGTGAACCATGAAAAGCTTCGCAGGTTATCATTTTTGATTTATGTCTTTTCAAACATGATACATCAACTCACCTCGATGTGCTCGGTGCAACCAGGCGAACAAACTTGATGTCCAAGTGTTACTGATACGGACTCAAAGTGGCACCAGTGCTGCTCTTTACAGCTCACCGTGACTTAAAGCTGTCAGAGCCATTTTGAAAAATGTGACTGTCCAAGTGTGAATGTGGCTCTCTGCTTGCCAGCACCGTGTGAAAGTGGAGCGCTTCCTGGTTATCTCCAGGTGATTCCGTCTCTCTGCCTCCTGTGGCTTATGTGTCGTCCCTCTCCACAGGGTTGTCAAAGAGGAGATTTCCGACGACAACGCCAAGCTGCCGTGCTTCAACGGGCGGGTGGTGTCCTGGGTAAGTGAGACGGGCGGTGCGACCTCGCGCTCCCTTTCTGCCTCGGCTGCATGCGAAACGCAGATCATTCAGTTGTAGAAATGTTGCACCTCCTTAGAGACTTTTAAAAAATTTGGCCTCGCCACTCAGCCGAAGCGTAGAGGTGTAAGTGGCGCCATTAGATATGAACACCCTCCTCTTCTGCATTGAATACTGTTACTCTAATCTTATCAGCTAATGTGCTGTTGAATTAAGTAACCCTGTAGCGTTTGTGGCGCTGGACCATAAACATGAACTAAAGCTCCCCTTTGGGAACAAGAAAAAGGTTTGCGGTATCGGTGAGAGGATTTACATCTTCATCTTTGCTTTGCCTCACAGGACGCGATATTTCAGTTAAAGCTTTTAACATTGATCTAAAACTAAAGTATACGACGTATAATTTAGTTTGACAGGTCACTTATCCAATCAGCTTCATGGATCTTTTGTGTTGCTGCTCCGTTTTATTTTATTTGGTTACTTTCCTTTATTGATCCCTGCGGGAAAAGTCATTGTTCTGCTAGCCTGCCTCCATGGGAGGTCAGAGGTCAAAATTAACCACACTGTGTTGGCTGTGCACTTGTTAGAGACTGCCATACTCAATAAGAGTTAATTAGCATAGACGGTCACTGACAGCAGGACCTAAGATATTGACAAACGCCTGAATCTGTGCAGCTGTACGACACTTTATGTCTTTATTTATGATGGGGGACAATGCTAAAATTAAAACAAAGTAATTGCTGCTCAGCACATCGGCTCTCTAGCCAGTAGCTAATATGCAGATCGGTCCCTGATTGGTCATCAAAAGCCATGAAGTTAAATCAAGATCAAACAAATACAAATACAAATAAAAAACATACAAATAAAACTAAGTGTTTCAAAAATACCCATAGGCGTTGAGATTCTATGGTAACTTTAACACATTTAACATAAAAAAAAACACCAGATATGTGTTTCTTCTGAGATGGCTGTAGTAATGATCGCTACAGTTTGTTTGTTGTTTTGTTTTTGAATCTCTATGTTCTAAATTTAAAATCTCCGCCTAGATATTTTTCGCTTATTTTAATTGTACGCAGTTCTTTAAATATATTTGCCCACTTATCCATAACAACCGGAACTTTCAACATCTAGCAAGTTATTTTCGCCCCTCAGATTCATAGACATAAGAGTAGACCCCGCATTGGCCGCTCCGGCGCAGGAAATACCGCGGCCA